TAGGACTCGGAGGGTCTCCAACGTGTATAATACCGGGGCTTTTGGTGTAAATATCAGTGTTAGAGTGATTTAAAACATAGCTTAAATACTTACTTAATAGTATTGACACGAATACCTTTGGGCCCCAATTCCAGGGCTAATATTTTGGTCAACATATCGAGGCCTGCTTTAGCCGATGAATAAGCGAGCTCAAATTTGACCTATTTTGATTAAAACATTATATAATTTGTTTATAAATTAATGAATAATTTGAAATTATTAATTTCTGTTAAATAAAGTAAAGTTTGTTATATAATTATAAATTAAAAAAGTTAAATATTGTAACATTTAAATTTTTCAACCTATGTAAACTTTATATTTATTTTAGGTCTACAGTAGGTTACATGAAAGAATTTTTTTAAAATAATATACTTATATAACTTATAATTAATATAAATTTGATTAATTACAAAATACCCATTATTTAAAACATACCGGGGTCATTGAAGCCACACTTGAAATATCAATTATAGTTCCGTTAGTCTTCTCCAGATGTGGAACCGATCGGTGGATGAGTTCTACGACAGCGCGTAAATCGACGGCAAAGATCTTATCCCAAAGCGATAACAGATCCGGTTGTGTGATGTTTGTCTGCGGATATATACCGGCGTTATTGACCAATACATCGATTTTGCCAAACGTTTTGACCGTAAAATCAATTAAATTGTTTACATCAGAGGTTTTGGTCAAATCTCCCACAACTTCTAATGGCTGTTAGAAATTAAATTAGAAATTGTTAAATTATTTTTTTAGATAATTATATTTAGAAATACCTTCAATTTTAGTGGTGACAACTCCTGTACCTCTTTGGCCACGCGTTGAACTTTAGTGGCAGTCGTTCCACAGACCACAACATTAGCCCCTAATATGGAAAACAGTTTAACGATTCTCTCTCCGATGCCCGACGAGGAACCGGTCACTACAACCACTTTTCCCGTAAAGTCCCGGGACTTTGCGACCGCCTTATAGTCCTCTATAGGATAGTCTGCGCTCACAATACAAACCAATCCACACATCAGTGCTATTAAGAATTTCATATTTAACAATAATTAATAAAATAATATAAAGCAAACAATAATACAATATTACAATTCAGTCAATGAATTTTATTGATATTTTTATTATCCTTTAGTTGTCGTGTTTATATATTGGTAGTATCTCAAATAGTATCTATCAATATCTATCAATAGTATCTCAAACTTGTGCACTACAACAACTTTAACAGTACATTAATACACAGTGTGTCAAATAATCTTTCAAATTAAATTTAGTACATTATAAAGTTATTGTTTTATATAAAAACAATGTGAAGTGGTTTTAAGGAGGACTAACCAACGTTTAACTATTAACTATACTATATGATAAATTTACTTTATCTCAGAGATGTGCTGAGCACTTTTCATCATAATAAATTATTTGTAGCTACTCTTTATAAACGTGATACATAATGTAATGTTTCACTACAATATTTTGTTATTAAAATAATTATACCTTTAAACCCTTTTTTATATTTGTTGGATAAAATTATTTGTAAAAGTAAATATTTATTATAGTACAATATTAGGACAATTATTTTACATGATAACAATTTGTCATAATTGTCACCAAGATTTAAAAACATTAATAAATAACACATACCGTAATTCTTTTTTACTTTTTGATTTTTAATGAATACTAATATAAGTTTAATTTTATTATTAAGTGCTTACAAGTTATTTAAATCAACTTGCTAAGCTAGTTTTATAAATAATATATACTTTTATAATTTTTAAATATTTTATTTTGATAGTATAGAATGTTTTAAATTACAACGAGTTTACAATGTATTCATAACACCCGCGTTGTATACAAGTCCGCCGTCGACCACAACATTAGCGCCGGTAATAAAGTGGGCGTCAGTGGAGGCCAGGAATGCGACCGCACGGGCGATGTCTAGGGGTTGACCCACTCTTCTCAAAGGCGTGTATTTTGGGACTAACTTTTCTAATGGGTTAGGAGGTTCTGTTACATGTATTATACCCGGGCTAAAAAACAATATAGATGAGTGAGTGAGTGAGTGAGTGAGTGAGTGAGTGAGTGAGTGA